CATATAGTAAAACCTGGAGAAAATGTTATTGATAAATTACGAGTAATACCAACAGATTCTGTTGGCACAGTAGCAACACCACTAAGATCATATTTTTCCGACGTATCTATTTTCCCGCCTACACGTTTAACAATATCTTCTGATACGATTGCAGGTTCAGCACCACTATCTAATACCAATGCCGGAATTTTTAAGCATTTGATTTTAACTGGTATAGTTGCAATACTAATTACCGGTTCTTTCCGACGGACGAAATCTATCTCCATAGGATCGTCTAGCGTTTCATTATCCCCATTCGAATCTGGTATTTCTGGAGCCGCTCTCGATAATTTATAAAGTCAGGTTTTGCAGGCCCTTTAGGGGCGACTCTTCGAGTCATAGATACATTCGTGTTATTAATATTGTTTCTAATTGTTTCTATAACCTCTGGATCGTTAAACATATCTAGAATAATTTTTCGAATCTGTGAATCAATAATCGTACCTGATTTTTTTTGTGAAGTATGTTTCTTTGAAGCAGACTTCTTTTTAGAGGATGATTTAGATGCGTAAGCACCCTTACTTCGTGAGCCAGATTTCTTCACTTTTTTTTTACCTTGCTAATGTTAACATTCATACTTTCAACTTCAGATGAAGACCCCCCAGACTTGGATTCATTATCAGAAGAATCGGAACCAGAATCATTATCAGAAGAATCGGAACCAGAATCATTATCAGAAGAATCTGTATCTGAACTAGAGTCGGAATCCACAACAACCTTATTGATATTACCACTCTTTTTGGATCTATTCTTAGACCTTTTCTTACGAGTACACTTGCGAGAATTATGCCCAGTCCTGTTGCAATTTGAGCATCTGTGTTGGGATGTTTTCTTAATCTCCTTTTTGACCTGTCTAGATATGGCTTTATTTATCGATAACTTACTCATACGATTAGAAAGTTCTTTATCCGAATCGACTTCGGCGTTTTTTGACGCATTCCCTTCATTTTTCTTAGGTAAGAAGGAAGAAACTTTATCAACTATTCCTTTAGTAATTGTATCTATTAACGATTGTAAAGGGGATGGACCCGCTAAAGCGCTAAGACGATCTGTCGCTTCATCCATTCGAAGCCATTCTGGGTCATTCAAACGTAAATTTGGATCTCTATAAATTTTACCTGGCTCCATTTGACTGGGTCGTACCAACTGCCTATTTTGCAATTGAGGAGCTGTCTGGGAAGAAACAGGTTGAGATTGTGAAGATGCCACAATGCCTTTCACTAGATTTTCAATTTCATCTTTGGTCCTACCTGTGTTGCTACTTTTTTTATAGGGATTAGGCACTTGACCTCCAGAAGGCGGGAATGGAAAGTTGCCTTGCAGTAGTGAAAATTTTTCCACTTCAACTAATGCTTTCGTAATATTATCTCTAGTATCATGGTATTTAGCCATCATGCGGACATTGTATTGATTCATAGGATTTAATCCCCAAATATACTGCTCTCTCATTTTTGATTCTGGTAATCCAGCAAGTTTTCCGAATTTTGATATTCTAGCATTGTACTCAAGTATTGACATACCTCCTTGTGCAATCTGACCAAAGAAAAGCAAATTCTTTTGCGCTTCAACTGTGGGATAAAGAAACTCAAGACAGTATAAAAATTGCCCAAGAGTCATTTCGGGTGCAACAATTGAATTACCTGCACCAGCATTTGCATAATTGGCTGGAAATGGAGTTCCTATAGGTGCGGGATGTCCTCCAGCTATACTCCAATCTTCATCCCATGTACCTACTGGAATAATATTAGCACCAGTTATTGTATTGTCACCTCCAGCATTATTTCTTACAACTAATGCTTCCCCGAGAAACTGATTTGCATTAATACCTGTTAAACCTCCATTATTTAATGCTCGAATTGCATTTAAGGTGTTTACGCCAGTGCCATCAAGAATATTATCGCATTGCCAGTTTCTGCCTTTTATCTCATTCTCGAACCAGGTTTTTGCTTCACCAACCATACATGATATAGCTAAATTATATGCTTCTGCTCTATCAGCAACTCCTCCTGCACCAGCTATAATGTTTATCCGAGATGCAATTACAAATCTCTTGAATTCTAAAACCCAATCTGATGGATCTTCTCCAGCTTTTCCAGTAAAAAGATGTGGTCCATTTCCTATCATATTCGATATTTGTATTTGAGGTGGATTTATAGGTGGATTATTCTGTAGTAATAAAATTTGGGCTTGTAAATTAAAATTAATTGCTGTGAATTACGCTCTCTATTTTTCCACTTGATATAACTTGCCTTCCGATCTTTGAATTTATTGTAATATTTATCAAAGAGCCGATCTCGATTATATTCTAATAATTCTTTATCGGCCTGACATCTTCGCAATTCTTGTTCTAATCGATAGTTTTTTAATCTATACAGAACTTCAAAAACATGCCTAAGTTTAGATCGTTCTTCTAATGCCAAAGTAATATTATACCACAAACGCCCACGCATATCATACCTTTGTTGTAAATCCCTATTATTGGTATAGCATCGCTGTAATAATAATTGGATAGCAAACTTTTCTCGAATTAATTCACCAACACATCTATTTTTATCACGATATGAGAACCACCAGCGACGGCGTTCTCCCTGTTCATTATTATAAGCTATAGTCATCAAAGTAAGATCATTCTGATAATTGTCACGCTCTTGAGTAAGTAGGTTAACTTGATTTCGTAAGTTATGTCACTCTTGGATAATTTGATTAACTTGGTTCTGTAAGTTATTTCGTTCTTGGGTAATCTGATTGACTTGATCCTGAAAATTATTTTGGGTAAGCTGATTAACTTGATTTTGCAAAACGATATTCCGTTGTCTATAGAAATTGATATCCTGTTGTAACTGGACTATCTGATTATCCCTGTCATCTCGTTGAGCGATAACACCATCTATATCCTGGAATGCATTTTGGTAATTAAGATGGATATCATTCAAGGAACCTCTAATACCATTTATAATATTAATAGAATTATTTAATGGTGTTCCAGCTCCTCTAATATGATTCTCAATGCGATTTAAGCCTCGATCGATTTGTATAAAAAGGTCAAGATTCGCCATATCTGTATCTTCCTCTGAATTATATAAACTTGGAGA